AAACTTGCTTCTGAGTATGTCTTACATGATTTTGCCCAATATAGTATTTTTTTGTACCTCAGACCAAGGCCATTTTACTTCTAAACAGTCTCATAAATTGTCTGTCACAGGGCAGTGACTGTCCATTCTCTTGGAGAAGACAACACAAATGCTTTCTCATCCATATGCCCAGCAGAATTTATCCTGATGCAATCTTCCTACACTGGTAGAATGACCCCCGAGATGAATCATAAATATTACAGATGAAGACTTTCTACACGCTGGAAGGTTCAGTGAAGTATTTGTCTAAGTATTTGTCTACTGTGACTAGCAATCAATGAGATGTTCTACATAAAGATGCTTGTCTTAGTCACTTTCTTCATTGCCTGGACAAAATACTTGGCACCCTCAGTTTAAGGAGGGAGAGGTTTATTTTGGCTCACTTTTCAGTCCATTTCTCAGACTCCAAGGAAGGATGACATGGCAGAAGAGAGTTGCTCACAGCATGGTGGACAGGAAGCAAAGAGCAGAGAGGAGTCAGAGAGGGAGACACACCCTTCCATGTCACACCCCCAGTGACCCACCTCTTCTGACCATGCTCTATCTCCTAACAGCACTATAAACTGATGAGCACAATGCTGTCAAGATCCAATCACTTCCCAAAGCCCCACCTATGATCACAGGAAGCTCTTGGTGTATATCTAGATATAAACCATAACAGTGCCTTTAGAAGGTGCACATTTTATGATATTGTCATAGTGTTTGATCTTGACTATCCCTAAAAGGGTCATGTGTTGAAGCTTGGTTCTCACTGCAGCAATCTTCAAAGGTGAAGTTTTTGGAAGGTGACTGGATCATGGGCATTCTAATTTCAGCAGTGGATTAGTCTATTTTTTTCCCCATTAAGTTTATGGTACATTTTAGGTATAAAATGCAGTTACATTCATCATTGGGATCTTGTACCATTACATGAGTATCTTGGTTCTTATTTTTTTCCCCCTTCCCTTGCCCTCCCTTCACTCCCTCC